CAACGGTGAGCCCCCACCCAAGCTTGAGGCTACCAAACCCCCCGACGCAGAGCCCAAGGCAAAGGCCTTTAAGCCTTTCAGGCGAGAGCTCAAGCTCGAGGTCGTCAAGGCCGTGAGACATGAGCTTAAGCGAAAGTGCAAGCGCAGGCCTGAGGCCTATCGCCGGCTCAGGCGTGAGGTCAAGCTACTCGACACCGAGCCCGAGCCCAAGTCCGAGGGAGCGAAGCTCTCTGAGGCCGAGGCTAAGACCCCCGAGCTCCCCCCCGAGCCAGTCCAACCTGCATACGTGCCACTACCCTCGAATCGTGCTGCCGTCGTCCGTGAGTTGTTGAAGGGAGCGAGCAAGGTGGCCGGAAATATCAACGGTCTTGGTGGCTGCGGCAAGTCAAGTCTGGCTGAGATCGCTGCCCAGCCCAACGTTGTCCCCATGTTCGAGCACCTCAAGCGCGAGGCCAAGCGCAAGCGCAAGCGCGAGGTTGCCGCCAAGTCAGGGCCCAAGTCCAAGGCCGCCAAGCTCCTCGGTACCGACGAGCGCATGACACACAGAGGCTGGCTCGCTTGCATCAAGCCCCCGCTATCCCCCTTCGAGGAGGAGAGGGTGGACCATGTCATGCGAGCGTGTACCGCGCGGGGCGTGGCCGATGTCGGCAACATAACCCTCACCAGGGCTCACTTTGTCCGCCTCGAGCCTGGCGGGTGGCTCAGTGACAGGATCGTCAACGCGTATATGGAGCTGCTGCAGGCTCACTTCAACAGGTTCACGCGGCACAAGGTCTGGTTCACCAACTCGTTCCTCGCCGCTGCTCTGTACCTCGACAGGCGGACGCTCAACTATGGCAGGGTGTCCAAGTGGCTCGGCAATGCCGTCGACGGCGGCATCATGTCGTTGGCCAAGATCATCGTCCCGGTCAACTTGGACAATAGCCACTGGTTCACGGTGGCTATTGAGCTTGGACCCAAAACGATCACGTTCTACGACTCGATGGCGGGCGAGGTGGACAGCGGGCTAGCAGAGGCGCTGAAGGAGTATGTGGCGCTGCAGGTGGAGCAGGAGACGGGCAGGAGGCTGGACATGTCGCAGTGGCATGTCGTCAAACCTGTCGGCCTTCCGCAGCAGACCAACCTTGTCGGGAACAGCGGGGTCTTTGCG